AACTTAGTTCTTTAAAGGCGATTTATTTCTCACAATTCTGTGGATTTACCTGAGCTCACCTGGCGATCTTTCTGTGATCCGCCTGGGGTCACTTGTGTGACTTCTAAGATAGGTGTCTGGGCGGTCAGATTTAAGCTTTCATAACTTTAGAAGTATAAATGGTACAAACTTAACAAAATATCACACCCAGGCTTAATTGTTTAAATGTCTTTCATACTTATTCAGTTTTTTTTATATTTTGAAAAATATTTACTTTTAAGTTTCTGTTTTGGTAAACATTTAAAACCGAAATTTATGTAACAAAACCTTCACATTGTACTTTCTTACGTGCCTGTAGCACGTGCACTTATCAGTCACCCAGACCTGCAGTGAGACCCGCTGGACAGCCTGTGTGTACAGGACTTGGGGCTCGTGTTTATTGGAAGGAGGATTGTTCCATTTGAAAATGAGTTAGAAACTTCCCTTTCCCATCCTTCTTTTTTTTTCTTTTTTTTCTGTACCTGTTTATACTTTAGGATTCAGCAGTCACTACCCAGGGGATGGTGGTGGTGAAGCCACTCGACACATGTGCCTTTGAGATGTTGGTCTGTTGACCTGTTAGGTTCAGGTGTGCGCAGAGAGTTCTGGGAGGAGCAGGATCGATGCCGTCGATTATGGAGAACGTTCAGGGCCAGGTCCCACTCCCCTGGCCTGTCTTTCATGCACGGGCCTGTTAGAGGACCATGTAATTTTAGAACGCATGGTAACTAACGCTGAGCATAGATAGCTAGGCACGATCTAGGCTTGTGGAAAACGAATCGCAAAGAGTTTGTAGCAAAGAGAGAGTGTTCCCATGCCTGGCGGTGGAGGAAACCCTGTTACTGGCCTCTGCGGCGGCTCCCTCGAGCCCCTCCCCCGCAGAAATGCCTGTGTCACTGCACAATGACCGGACGGATACAGGAGCTGCTTCGCCTGGGCTGCCCCTTTCCTCCAACCCTGACCCCTGTGGAGCTGAGGTCCAGGGCTTCAGGTCCCCTGATGTTACTTTACCAGGAAATGTTTTAAAACTGAAAAGCTAAGGTAGCATGATTTCACGTTGTAAGACTTTGAAAGACGATTCAGGTTTCAAGGCAGATGGGAAGTGCTGAAACTCTGACAGTATAATTATCATTGATGCTTATGCGGAAGAAACAGGGCACCGGTCTAAAGAAAAGACAGTACCTTACCCAAGGTCTCTGCAAAGCTTGGGTTTCCACATGACTTGTTAAAAGGTGGGAGGAGCTGACGCTTAATGAAAAGCACTCAAGGGCCATGATGGCTGCCATTGGTTTTTGAGCAGATTAATAAATGGTGCTCTGCCTTTCTGCGGATTCGCACCTCTTTCTTACTCTGGAGGGCCTGTGGTTCCAAGCGCTCGCTTGTTTTGGTGGTTAGTTCATTTGTCACTTAGCACCAGCTTACACCCACCCACTGCCATGTCTGTGTTGTGATACCGTGGTCTGTGTGGGTGCAAAGTGGGAGTGGGTCTCCTCCCAGTTTTTCTCCAGAGCCGTTTTCGTGGTGGTTATTATAGAATAGATGCGTTATCAAAGGGATGATCTGCAGTGTCTCTTGAGGATTCTCTAAAGGTTTCAGTTTAAGCACATTGGAGAGCACTTACATGTCGCTGATGGGCTTAAAATCAATCTTGATATTTTTGGTACATGTTTCTGCCGTAGAGTCTCTACCTTGTTTTTTCTTCTGCTGTACAGCATCCTGGGTTTGAGGGCAGACAAACTTTACACCAAATCTTACTTAAGCACTAGACTGAGTCAGCAGATGAAATTTCCAATATGAGTTGCATGGTGTTTGGCTTTGTATTAATTGTTTTCATTTATTCGGGTCACTTTTAGTTAATGTGATTTACAACGCATGCCTCAAATTCTGCACAAGTATGGCGTGAGGATAAATTAGGTAATATATATAAAACCAATGTGAGTTCTTTAGGAAAAGTCATCACCCTAAGAAAAACATCTTACGTTGATATGTAATAAAATAAAGTTGAATGTTTTCTTTAGGAACTGCGTTTTTTAG